TCACCGCCGGGTTGAGTGAAGTGAAAAGCTCCAAAGATATCTTACATCTCTTGAATTAAAGCACCAAGGGATGCTAACATAAAGATTGAATATTCCCAAAATCCTTTTTTGGCATGAAAAATTGAAACCATTTGAAGAAATGTCCATGTCATCAATTTAAAATTATTAGGTGGACATCATTTCTTGATGGTCTAATGAACGTAATTCAAGAGGAACAAGGAAATCAAAATTCAAATGAAGTAAATATTTAAGAAATAGCAATTCTACAACAGAACTTCGAACATGAAACAAATATCCGAATTTTGAATTGGAATATTCAGCTAATTCTAGTTAGAACAATAACGTGACTAGAAGAAGTATTATAGAAGCAAAGACTTCTAATCACCATTGGTTAGCCTAGTGGTGAGCCTAGTGGTGAGCCTAGTGGTCAACAAGGGGCAAGTAGATAACAAAGAGTGAATGAGCTCAAGTCATGTTGGCCACCTACTTCAGATTTAACATCCTACAAGTGTCTAAATCAGGTACTTCTCCTGTTATGAGCTCGCTAGACAATTGGCTATATCCACATTTTATTGTTATGGCCTTTTCATGATGATAATAGAAAGTTAGCTTCCAAAGCTTTCTTTACCCGAATGTGGTATCAGAGCAGTGCTCATCTACTACACGTTCTCACCGTTGTAGTTCTCCCTTCTTCTCTGTTGTATCAATTAATTGGCCCAGCCAACTTGAAGAGAGATAATTCTCCAGGAATTTACTCCTGGAGTTGTAAGGGAATTAAAAAATATTCGCCAATTACAATTGAAATCTACTCAATTGCAAATAACTTTCGAGTGGATGACGCATCTAACAATCCCCTTTACATCCACCATTTTGATAATCTAGTATTGATGCTTGTATCCCGGCCAACAACTGGAGAAACTTCAATTTCTGTAGTCGAGCCACAAAGATAGCACTTCCCAAATGTCCATGAAGAACTCGGGTTGGTTTTATTGATCGCATCTTGGCATGTTCATCAAGAAATGATCCTTTAGTAAATAAGTGGATCCACAGCAACCAGTGTAATCCACTTACATTCAGCTCAAGAAATATTATGAGAGATTCTCAAAGAATAATGTCCTTCAAAGTTTTCAGTTATGATGGGACTTGGTGACTCTTACATAATGTTAAAAAAGAAACCAAGCTTTTCTTGAGGAAAAAGAATGTACAAGGCATACAAAAAACAATAGACCTCCGGATTGAAAATAATGGAATGAAGGCACACCACCTCTAGAAACTGACGATCAGTGAGAGAACGAAGAGAACCCAAAGAGAGCAAGGGTCAGGAGAAGACAAAAAAAAAAAAGGCTACTTTCTCCCGATTATTGATGAGGACATAAATTGAAATTTTGAAATTATGTGAGAGGAGAACATCAATTATAGGCCTAGCAACCCTTATGTGAGGTGTGTAAGTGGAGGCACAAAGGCATTAATTCATATCTTCGAGATGGAGTATGGACTTTTGGGTCTAAACAACTTCTTTGATTGTTTAAGATCAATTGTTATTAATAGGTTCTATACCTTCTAAAACCGTGTGGTATGTAGTGGAGTTTACCAAGTGGTGTTCTTGCTGGAAATGAACCTAGTAGAGGGATGGGCACTCATTGTGACAATACAGCTGTACTGGTTGGACAAATCTAACAACCAAAGGAGCTAATCAAGTTTCTCAAACTCTAATCAACTTTCCACGAAAGATTACTTCCTATTCTTTCTTAACCACTCAGTATCCTCTGCAGCGTAATAGACAGGGTATGTAGCCTTCCATCTTCCTCACCATTATCCTATGTATGAAGCTTCTCTTTCGTGAAAGCATTCGGTATATCGAATATAATCAAGTGGCCTAATATTATCAACCTACAATTCTTCACACACACACAAAAAATAATAATAATAATAATAATAAATAAATAAACTTGTATACGAAACTATCATGAAAATCAAGAGTCCATATTAGATCTAAATTTTCCATCAAGAATAACACGGTGCAGAAAGTCTGTAGCCTATCCTCAAATTTTGAGGAAAATGTGAGGAAACCTTTTATAGACGAATCAGACTCCCTTTAGGTGGAAAATTATAGTCCAATGGTGGCAGCAGATTTAGTGTGATGTCCCACATTTGTTGGGGAGGAGAACAAACCACCATTTATAAGGGTGTGGAAATCTTTCCCTAGCAGACACGTTTTAAAGCCTTGAGGGGAAGCCCGGAAGGAAAAGCCCAAAGAGGACAATATCTGCTAACGGTGGATCTGGGCCGTTACAAATGGTATCAAAGCCAGACATGGGATGATGTGTCAGCCTTCTCGCTGTTCCCCGAAGGGGGTAGACACGAGGCGGTGTGCCAGTAAAGACGCTGGGCCCCAAAGGGGGGTGGATTTGGGGGCGGTCCCACGTCGATTGGAGGAAGGAAAGAGTGCCAATGAAGACGCTGGGCCTCGAAGGGGGGTGGATTGTGATGTCTCACATTGGTTGGGGAGGAGAACAAACCACCATTTATAAGGGTGTGAAAACCTTTCCCTAACAGACGCGTTTTAAAGCCTTTTGGGGAAGCTCGAAAGGAAAAGCCCAAAGGGAATAGTATCTGCTAGCGGTAGATCTGGGCTGTTACATTTAGTTGGAGAAGAGCATGAAAGATGAACTGAGAGTGATGCGAATAAGAGCAGATATGAAGGCGAAGGCAGAATGGGGAGGAGATCAAGAAGGCTGTACCTTCTGTCCAAAGCAATTACGGGAATAGCATCCAGACTCTTAATCCAAACACAATACCAGCCATGAATTGCTAGTTTTTTTGGGGGTAAAGAAACCAAGCTTTCATTAAGAAACATGAAAAATAATACGACAAAAAACAAGCCCAATAAAGATAAAGACTCAAAAGCTACACAAAGGGATTCCGGTCCAACAAAATCAAACCAAGATCATAATTCCAAAAAGGTTCGGTGGCCGTTGTCCACAAGGAGACATTATATCTCACCAACTTCCAAATCTCGCCACAAGACCTCTCAAGCTCTCAAAAATTCTATTATTCCTCTCAAGCCAAAATCTCCCACAAAAATGAAAAGAAATAACATGCCACACAACTTGGCCTTTACCACGAAAAAAGAACCCACGAGAACCTCCTCAATCATAGCATAACAGTCCCCATTCCAAACCAGACATAAATTATAGGAATCCAACCAACGAGTCCAAAGGGACTAAACAAATGGGCAATCCAACAAAAGGTGATGCAAATCCTAAAACGGGCAACACAAAAATGTGTCTGCTATGATACATGAGAGCTAACACAATTATTGGGATTTTTTATTGGGATGGGAACCCAATAATTGTCTTGCTACAATATCCTGATAACCCCAAAAGGGTTGAGGTTCGTAGTCACTCTGGGATGGTATAAACCCAGTTGTGATTGTTGAGGATTGTTGGGAGAGGAGTCCCACATCAGTTAATTAAGGGGTTGATCATGAGTTTATAAGTAAGAAATATATCTCTATTGGTATGAAGCCTTTTGGGGAAACCAAAAGTAACGTCATGAGAGTCTATGCTCAAAGTGGACAATATCATACCATTGTGGAGGTTCGTGGGTCCTAACATGGTATCAGAGTCAGACATCGGACAGTGTGCCAGCGAGGACGCTGGACGCCCAAGGGGGTGGATTGTGAGATTCCACATCAGTTGGAGAGGGGAACGAATATTCCTTATAAGGGTGTGAAACCTCTCTCTAACATACATGTTTTAAAATCTTGAAGGGAAGTTCGAAAGGAAAAGCCCAAAGAGAACAATATCTGCTAATGGTGGGCTTGGGCTGTTACAAATGATATCAGAGCCAGACACCGAGCGGTGTGCCAGCGAGGACGCTGGACCTCTAAGAGGGTTGAATTTTGAGATCCCACACCGGTTGGAGAGGGGAACGAAGCATTCTTTATAAGAGTGTGGAAACTTCTGCCTAGTAGATGCGTTTTAAAATTTTGAGAAGTCCCAGAAACAAAGCCCAAAAAAAGAAAATTTTTTCTCGCGATGAACTTGGGTTATTACTAATAGTATCAGAGTTATGCCCTTAACTAGTCCTGTCAATAGAATCCTCAAATGTCGAACAAAAAAGTTGGGAAGGTGTAGTCAAAAGTGACTCAAGTGTTGAACAAAGGGTGTACTTTGTTTGAGGGCTCTAGAGAAGGAGTTGAGCTTCGATTCAGGAGAGTCTAGGGTTTCACAGACTTCAGCGGAGGCTCTATGGTATACTTTGTTCGAGGGAAGGATTGTTGAAGATTATTGGGAGAGGAGTCCACCTCGGTTAACTAAGAGGTTGATCATGAATACATCTCCATTGATACGAGTCCTTTTAAAAAAACTAAAAGTAAAGTTAAGGCTATTGGTTTTCACAGCCATTAATGGAATTGCAGAGAACACCAGAACCCCTGCAAGCTAAAGCAAGATGGAGAAAATAAAATATACTTATCATTCAGCTAAATTTTGATAGGCATAGCTTGTTGTCTTACCTCCTGCGACGATGAGGAATAGAGTGGCTGTTTCGAAGATTAAGGGTTGTATGGTGCGCGTGCGGAGTTGTTGAATAGAACTCCAGTAGATTGGGCGGACGAAGATGAAATTGCAGAAGGAAAAGTGTGTGGCTGAAACAGGGCCATTGCTGCCATGAGTGACGTTGGAAGTGAGCACTGAGCGAGAACGCAGCGTGCACGACTTTGGCGCGTTGTTAATTCATTCCACGTGCCAAGAGTAATCTAAAAGTACCAACGGAGAGCTTCGAGAGAGAGGAAGAAGCTTCTCCCTCCATTGAGAGTAAAATGTTTTGGTCTAATTCTATTAACAAAACTCTATATATGAATAGGATTTAAATTCAATATTCTAATTTTTCTAATTTTGAACTATCCACTTTCAATAGAGTTTTACGGAGATAAGCCGGCTTTTTTTTTTTCTTTATTTATTGGGCTTCATTTCCAAACGAGGCCTGTTACTGTTGAGGGATTTTGAGCCTTCAAAACCCTAGATTTCGCCGCTCTCCAATTTACTTACTTCCGATCGTCCATGGCGCATCTGGGTGGTGGTGCCGAGGCTCACGCCCGCTTCAAGCAATACGAGTATCGAGCCAATTCCAGTTTGGTTCTGACTACAGACTCTCGTCCTCGCGACACACATGAACCCACCGGCGAGCCCGAGTCCCTCTGGGGAAAAATTGATCCTAAAAGCTTTGGTGATAGGGCTTATAGAGGGAGGCCCCCGGAATTGGATGAGAAACTTAAGATATCCAAGAGGAAGAAGAAGGAGCTCGACCCACTCGCGGAGCTTCCACCTAGTAGGCAAAGCAGCAAGCGTCGTCGTCTCCAGGAAGAAAGTGTTCTTACTTCTACCGAGGAAGGAGTCTACATGCCTAAGACTAAGGAGACCAGGGCGGCTTACGAGGCGATGCTCAGTGTCATTCAACAACAATTAGGTGGGCAACCTTTGAGCATAGTAAGTGGCGCAGCGGATGAGATTTTGGCGGTTCTAAAAAACGACTCATTCAAGAACCCAGACAAGAAAAAAGAAATCGAGAAATTACTGAACCCCATTCCAAACAATGTATTCGATCAGTTGGTGTCTATTGGGAGGCTTATTACCGATTATCAAGATGGGAGCGATGCTGCCGGGCCTGCGTCAGCTAATGGGGATGATGCTCTTGATGACGATGTAGGTGTTGCGGTTGAATTTGAGGAGAACGAGGAGGAGGAGGAAGAGAGTGATCTAGACATGGTCCAGGAGGATGAAGAAGACGAAGATGATGTGGTAGAGCCTAATGGTTCTGGGGCTATGCAGATGGGCGGGGGAATTGATGACGATGAAATGCAGGAAAAGGACGGAGGTATGAACCTTAATGTTCAGGATATTGATGCTTACTGGCTCCAGAGGAAAATCTCTCAGGCTTACGAACAACAAATTGATCCACAGCAATGCCAGAAGCTTGCCGAAGAGGTACTCAAGATACTGGCTGAAGGCGATGACCGAGAAGTCGAGACCAAGTTGTTGGTGCATCTCCAGTTTGAAAAGTTCAGCCTTGTAAAATTTCTTCTACGAAACCGACTGAAGGTTGTATGGTGCACCCGTTTGGCTAGATCTGAAGACCAAGAAGAAAGAAAGAAAATTGAGGAGGAAATGATGCATCTGGGTCCAGATTTAGCTGCAATCCTCGAGCAGCTGCATGCTACTAGAGCAACAGCGAAAGAGAGGCAAAAAAATTTAGAGAAGAGTATCAGAGAAGAGGCTCGTCGATTGAAGGATGAGAGCGGAGGAGACGCGGAAAGGGGAAGGAGGGAGCCTGGTGAGAGAGATATGGACAGCGGGTGGTTGACTGGACAGAGCCATGTGCTTGATCTTGACAGTATTGCATTTCAACAAGGTAGTCTTTTGATGGCAAACAATAAATGCGTACTTCCTGATGGGTCATACAGACATCTCAGTAAGGGTTACGAAGAGATTCACGTTCCTGCCCTGAAACCAAAGCCGTTTGATAGCGAAGAGAAATTTGTTAAAATTGCTTCCATGCCAGATTGGGCACAGCCAGCTTTCAAGGGAATGACTCAGTTAAATAGGGTACAGAGTAAAGTCTACGAGACTGCCCTCTTTAAAGCGGACAATGTTCTGTTGTGTGCCCCTACTGGCGCCGGGAAAACTAACGTTGCTGTCCTCACTATACTACAGCAGATTGCTCTGCACACAAATCCAGATGGTTCGTACAACCACAATGAATACAAGATTGTATATGTTGCACCTATGAAAGCTCTTGTTGCTGAAGTTGTTGGCAATCTGTCTAATCGCTTGCAGGACTATGGTGTCAAGGTTCGGGAACTTAGTGGAGATCAGACATTGACTCGTCAACAAATTGAGGAGACTCAAATCATTGTTACAACTCCTGAGAAGTGGGATATCATTACTAGGAAGTCTGGTGATCGCACGTATACACAGCTTGTAAAGCTTCTGATTATTGATGAGATTCATCTTCTTCATGATAACAGAGGCCCTGTGCTTGAAAGCATTGTCGCCAGAACTGTGAGGCAAATTGAGACCACTAAGGAGCATATCCGTTTGGTTGGATTATCAGCCACCCTCCCTAATTATGAAGATGTAGCATTATTCTTGCGAGTTGATATGAAAAAAGGTTTGTTTCATTTTGACAATAGCTACAGACCCGTCCCTCTCTCTCAACAGTATATTGGAATAACGGTGAAGAAGCCATTGCAGAGGTTCCAGTTGATGAACGATCTCTGTTATGAGAAGGTAATGGCAGTTGCTGGAAAGCATCAGGTTCTTATCTTTGTCCATTCAAGGAAAGAAACTTCCAAAACAGCTCGTGCTATTCGAGATGCTGCTCTTGCCAATGACACTCTTGGCAAATTCTTGAAGGAGGACAGTGCTAGCCGTGAGATTCTTCACACTCATACCGATTTAGTCAAAAGTAATGATCTCAAAGATCTTCTACCTTACGGTTTCGCAATACATCATGCTGGGATGACAAGGGTTGATCGCCAACTTGTTGAGGATCTTTTTGCTGATGGTCATATTCAAGTTTTGGTTTCCACGGCTACTCTTGCTTGGGGTGTGAACCTGCCAGCTCATAGTGTTATTATCAAGGGAACCCAGATTTACAATCCAGAGAAAGGAGCATGGACTGAGTTAAGTCCTTTAGATGTTATGCAGATGCTGGGTCGTGCAGGAAGACCTCAATATGATTCTTATGGGGAGGGAATAATCATCACAGGACACAGTGAATTGCAATATTATCTTTCACTAATGAACCAACAGCTACCGATTGAAAGTCAGTTTGTCTCCAAAATGGCGGATCAATTAAATGCAGAAATTGTCCTTGGGACTGTTCAAAATGCAAGAGAAGCATGTAATTGGCTAGGATATACGTACTTGTATGTTCGTATGCTAAGGAATCCCACCCTGTACGGAATAGCGCCTGATGCTCTTTCAAGAGATATAACATTGGAAGAGAGGAGAGCTGATTTGGTAAGTACAAAATACTTCTTTTGTTTTTTTTTTTTTGTCAAAACGTCTCATATTGGTTGTTTGCTGGATTGCTTGTTGTTACCTTTTGTAGATATTTCATGTTTCTTTGGCCGGATGAGCCATTCAACACTTGAGAAAAATATATCAGCAAACATGGTAGATGATAAATTATATTTCAGAAATATTTTCTTACTTTGTTTTAGAGAAGAAACAACACTTCCATTAAGACCGAAACAAGATTAACAAAAAAAAAAGTGGCTAGACAAGTCGCTAAGCAATGATTCCAATGAATGTTATTCTATGTTCTAGATTCAAAAGAAAATAGAAATATCTGAACAACGAAATCATTGTGTATGATGCTGTAGTCCTCTCAATCATAATGTACTTCAACCAAATGCCCAAGGCTGATGTTAAAGGACCTGTAACCCACAAAAATCTACCTCTTCTTCCTACACAAGGAGGATTGTAACCTTACTAATTATTCTCAATCTTAAATAATAAAATAGAGTAGAAGATGAAAATTAACACTTTAAAGTCATGAGCGTTGCTAACTCTTAACATTTATTAGAAATAGATTATCATGGAGAAGAAGATTTGTCATGGAAAGAACTAATAGAGACCTGTAGGAGTGCTTTTGTTTAAGCTATTGGTATTGGAGCGTTTGCCTTTTCTAGATTTTCACAATTAATCCAAAATTCCATTTTACTATTAAAAAAAAACGTGAATTTGTTTCTTAAAAATAATGGCTGAATACTGTACTCAAGGTAAGAAAAATGACGAAGGGAAATAGACAAAATCTAAAGAGGAGAGATGCGAAGTAAATGTTGCCTTACAATTGTATCCGAAAAGATTGGATCTTGTGGGTAACTTGGTTGTGGGTGATAATGATGATTGTTGTTTTATGTTGCGGTTGTGTAAGATGATATTTTTTGTTTTTCTTATTATGACGCTGCTCTATGTCTGCAGATTCATTCAGCTGCTACAATATTAGACAAAAATAATCTGGTGAAGTATGACCGCAAAAGTGGGTATTTCCAAGTTACCGACTTGGGTCGCATAGCTAGCTACTACTATATAACACATGGAACAATATCCACTTACAATGAGCATTTGAAGCCAATGATGGGGGATATTGAGCTATGTCGCCTGTTCTCATTGAGTGAAGAATTTAAATATGTAACTGTGCGCCAAGATGAGAAAATGGAATTAGCAAAGCTATTGGAACGTGTTCCAATTCCTATCAAGGAAAGCTTGGAGGAACCCAGTGCCAAGATCAATGTTTTACTGCAAGCATATATATCTCAGCTAAAGCTGGAAGGGCTGTCGTTGACATCTGACATGGTGTTCATAACTCAGGTCTGTTCAGTTTGCTTTTGTTTAAGAATTTATACAAATTGAATTATCTCATTTTAATCTTTAACATTTATTTGTTATTAATGGCTATTTACATCTCATTTTGTGGATTCCTGTCAAGCTTTGTTGTTGTACTCCAAACTTCTTTTGTTGTCTGTACCCATTTTCTGTGCCTCTATGCTTAGGCTTTTAATTTGGCTTTCCTTGCATTAATATCTTTTAATGTTTCATCAGAGTGCTGGACGGCTTATGCGAGCTCTATTTGAGATTGTCTTGAAACGAGGATGGGCACAACTTGCTGAGAAGGCCTTGAACTTGTGCAAGATGGTGAGTAAAAGGATGTGGAATGTCCAGACACCTCTTCGGCAATTTCATGGTATCTCGAATGATATTCTCATGAAGCTGGAGAAGAAGGATTTGGCTTGGGACCGGTACTATGATCTCTCATCGCAGGAGCTAGGTGAGCTTATACGTGCGCCCAAAATGGGAAGAACTCTTCACAAGTTCATCCACCAATTCCCAAAATTAAATCTTGCTGCACATGTTCAGCCAATTACACGCACTGTTCTGAGAGTTGAGCTCACAATAACACCAGACTTCCAGTGGGAGGACAAGGTTCATGGATATGTTGAGTCATTTTGGGTACTTGTGGAGGATAATGATGGTGAAAATATACTTCATCATGAGTATTTCCTGTTGAAGAAGCAGTACATTGATGAGGACCACACTTTGAATTTTACGGTCCAGATATACGAACCACTACCCCCGCAGTACTTCATACGTGTTGTGTCAGACAGATGGCTAGGGTCACAAACTATTTTGCCTGTCTCTTTCAGGCACCTCATTCTGCCAGAAAAGTTCCCCCCACCAACGGAGTTGTTAGACTTGCAACCTCTTCCTGTGACTGCGTTAAGAAATCCATCTTATGAAGCTCTTCATAAAGATTTTAAGCATTTCAATCCTGTTCAGACTCAAGTCTTTACCGTGTTGTATAACACAGATGACAATGTTCTAGTTGCAGCGCCAACAGGAAGTGGAAAAACTATTTGTGCCGAGTTTGCTATATTGAGGAATCATCAGAAAGGGCAGGATAACATGTTACGTGCTGTGTATATTGCACCTATAGAAGCTCTTGCCAAAGAACGTTACAGAGACTGGGAAAAGAAGTTTGGAAAGGGACTTGGAATTCGTGTTGTTGAGTTAACAGGGGAAACGGCGACAGATTTGAAACTTCTTGAGAAAGGTCAAATAATCATTAGTACCCCAGAGAAATGGGATGCTCTATCTCGTCGTTGGAAGCAGCGAAAACATGTCCAACAGGTCAGCCTTTTTATTATTGATGAACTTCACTTGATTGGAGGTCAAGGTGGTCCTGTATTGGAGGTGATTGTGTCTAGGATGAGATACATTGCAAGTCAGATTGAGAACAAGATTCGAATTGTGGCCCTTTCTACTTCACTTGCAAATGCCAAAGATATTGGGGATTGGATAGGGGCTACTTCTCATGGTCTCTTCAATTTCCCGCCTGGAGTTCGTCCTGTGCCTTTGGAGATTCATATTCAGGGGGTGGATATAGCTAATTTTGAAGCAAGAATGCAGGCAATGACAAAGCCAACATACACCGCTATTGTTCAGCATGCAAAAAATGGAAAGCCTGCTCTTGTTTTTGTTCCTACAAGGAAGCATGTCAGACTGACAGCAGTGGATATAATGACGTACTCTAGTGCAGACAATGGAGAGAAACTGCCATTCTTGTTGAGATCTCTTGAAGACATTGAGCCCTTTGTTGACAAGATTCACGATGAGATGCTGAAAGCCATTTTACGTCATGGGGTTGGCTATTTGCACGAGGGATTGTCTAGCTTGGATCAAGAAGTGGTGACGCAACTGTTTGAAGCAGGGTGGATTCAGGTTTGTGTTGTAAGCAGCTCGATGTGTTGGGGTGCTCCATTGTTAGCCCATTTGGTGGTGGTAATGGGAACACAATATTATGATGGAAGGGAAAATGCGCACACCGACTACCCTGTTACTGATTTGATGCAGATGATGGGACATGCCAGTCGACCACTGCTTGATAATTCTGGGAAATGTGTCATTCTTTGCCATGCACCCCGTAAAGAATACTACAAAAAATTCTTATACGAAGCTTTCCCGGTTGAAAGCCACCTACACCATTACCTTCATGATAATATTAATGCAGAAATTGTTGCTGGAATTATTGAGAATAAGCAGGATGCTGTTGATTATATTACGTGGACTTTTATGTACAGGAGGCTTACTCAGAATCCCAATTATTATAATCTTCAAGGTGTCAGTCATAGGCATCTTTCTGACCACCTTTCAGAGCTTATTGAGAACACGTTGAGCGATTTAGAAGCAAGCAAGTGCATTGGCATTGAGGATGATATGGACCTATCTCCATCTAATCTTGGTATGATAGCGTCGTATTATTACATAAGTTATACTACCATTGAGCGTTTCAGTTCGTCTTTAACTGGCAAAACCAAGATGAAGGGTCTTTTGGAGATTCTAGCTTCAGCTTCTGAGTATGCATTGCTTCCAATACGACCGGGTGAAGAAGAGTTGATTCGCAGGTTGATTAATCATCAGCGATTTTCCTTTGAAAATCCGAAATGCACAGACCCACATGTCAAAGCAAATGCATTGCTGCAGGCTCACTTCTCAAGGCAATCTGTTGGTGGTAACTTAGCAATAGATCAACGGGAGGTAGTCATTTCTGCCAGTAGGTTGCTGCAGGCAATGGTGGATGTCATTTCGAGCAATGGTTGGCTGAGCCTTGCCCTTCTTGCAATGGAAGTCAGCCAGATGGTGACCCAAGGCCTGTGGGAGCGGGATTCCATGCTTCTTCAGCTACCACATTTCACAAAGGAACTGGCCAAGAGATGCCAAGAGAACCCTGGAAAGAACATAGAGACAGTATTTGACCTGGCGGAAATGGAGGATGAGGAAAGGCGTGAACTACTTCAGATGACAGATGTTCAGTTGTCGGATATTGCACGTTTTTGCAATCGGTTCCCAAATATTGATTTGGCGTACGAGGTACTGGATGGTGAGAATGTTGCAGCAGGGGAGAACATAACACTGCAAGTTGCACTTGAGCGGGATCTTGATGGAAGGACTGAGGTTGGGCCTGTGGATGCTCCGAGGTATCCCAAAGCCAAAGAAGAAGGCTGGTGGCTTGTTGTTGGCGATACAAAGAGCAACCAGCTACTGGCGATTAAAAGGGTTTCCCTTCAAAGGAAGTCGAAGGTCAAGCTTGATTTCACTGCGCCTCCAGACACTGGAAAGAAATCGTATACCCTTTATTTCATGTGTGATTCATACTTGGGCTGCGACCAGGAGTATAGTTTCTCAGTCGATGTCAAAGATGCTGACGAAGATAGCGGGAGAGAGTAGAGTAGCTGTTAGTCTGGCAGTCGATGTCAAAGGTGCTGATGAAGATAGCGGGAGAGGAGTAGAGTAGCTGTTAGTTGGGTGTTTCCATTTTGATTTGAAATTTGTTAACTGATAAAGAGCAAGTATTTTATAACTCAAGGGATTGTCTTCGTTTTTATGTGATTAAGATGCTATAATTATGTATAAAACTTGTAACATGCTTGAATATGGTTCATTCAACACGGTATCTGGATATGGATAATATGAAAATATTATATATTGTGGTTTAGAAAGTGGAATTGTGGACAGATGCAGCATTGATTTTGACAAAAGAAAAGAAAAGGAGTGGATTTGATAGTAGATAGTTGATAGTTGATATAGAACAGAACACAAGACGAGACACATAGGGGATCGGATCACTCATTCCTCGTAAATTTGACACTCGTCAAGCTGAGGATTGTCTCGACAGAAATACTCCAGGGGATCTTGAGTCTGTAGTTTACGTAGGAGATGGGCCTTAGCTTGGCTAACCTCCTCCACCTGGTCCCAGGCCACCTTGCACTCATCAGAGCCTGAGGTCTCGTCCCCCTTGCAAACCTCCTTTGCTTCCATCACCTTCTTCTCAATCATCTCCGTCAGAAGCTTCTCTCTCATCCGCGTTCCTTTGTATTTGTATTTTGCCATGCTCACAGTCATTGCTCTCTCCCGCTGATACCCCTGTTTTCTGCTGCCGACACTCAGCCCTAGATACGCTATTTTCTCCTGAAGGCCCTTAGACGGTCTCACAGAGGTGGATGATGAAGGTTGGATCGGCCACGGCCACGGCCACGACCACGACCACGAGGCAGCCATTTTATTAGAACTCCAGTTGCTGCTGCTTCAATTTCAATGATCACCGGACGCCTCAACTCTTTCTCAGAAACAGAATTAAGTAATAGTATTTTGAGTTTTTGACCACCCACCCTATCCCGAAAGCAATCTTCGTGGGTCTTGGGCCGGGCTCTTAGTCTTCGGCCCAACCCACCCACCCACCCCATTTATATTCCTGGATTGAGACAACGGGGAAAATCGGCCGTTGAATTTTGAAATTTGAAATTTGAAATTTGAAACCCTTGGAGCGTAGTAACACGATTTGGTTCGTCGTCAGCGAGGTGGAGGAGAAACAATAGTCATGGAAGACGCTACAATACAGGAATTGGACCCAGAAACTGAGTTCCTTTTCTCCAAGCGGAAAACTGAGAACGATTGGGAACTCTTCAAAGAGAACGTCAGACCTCTGAAGAGAGGTCGCAATATCAGCATCTTGAACAATGCCCTCAAGTCCCATTCTGATAATCATCTCAAGAAATCCCTTCTTGATAACCGAAGGTTTTTTTCCCATCTTTTTCCATCTCTCTTTTGCGCCTCTGATTCTAGTGCCCCTTTCTTAATCTCTTCTTCATTCTTCTTTCAGGAAGTTGATTGAGGCTATCGACGACTACAAAGGTGACGATCCCCTGCAGCCATGGCTCGAGTAAGTTGCCTGTTTTTCTTGTTTAACTTCAGATCTTCATTTGAACTGAAAAACTCGCCTAAAATTTATTCCTCTTCAATACATTGCTCTCATATTTCCTAACCTCTGGTTTTCTAAATTAGTTGAAACTTGCATCCCACTCCCCTTCCAGCTTTACATTCTAATTCCCGGTATTTACTAACAATACATACTTTTCAAAGGTGTATTAAATGGGTTCAAGAGGCATATCCAGCTGGGGGTGATTTCTCTGGACTTGTTTTGATATATGAACAATGTGTGCGGAATTTTTGGCATTCAGATCGCTACAAGGAGGATCTCCGTTATTTGAAAGTGTGGTTGGAATATGTGAGTGGGATCTCCTTTTCCATTGTGTACTACTACTATATTTGAACTTTGAGTCTTTGTCGTTTGATAATTAAATGCTGCAGGCTGAAAATTGTATTGATGCTGAAGTCATATTTAATTTTCTGCACGCAAATGAAATTGGGACGACGCATTCTGCTTATTACATAGCATATGCTCTCCATTTGGAGTCTAAATCTAAATCAAAGGCTGCAAATGACATGTTTAATCTTGGTATCTCAAGGTGAGGCTTCAATTTAATATTTTGGCATTTCTTATTGAATTGGATCAGGCATTTTTTGTTAATTAACGTGAATAACATGATCAATTATAATTCTTTCTTGCTTTTCGGCTGCAAGGATTGAGACGACTGTGTCCTAAATATAACAAGGATTAAGTTACTAACTTCGCGCTTTAACCTTTGTATGACTTATATTTTTATGCATTGGTTTTGATACTAAGTTTTCTAGCATAATATTTATGTTTGATACAGATTTTGTGCGGTTAATTTATTGGAAGAGGTGGACTGTATCATTCTATGGTAGATATGGCTCGTTTGATTTGAACACAATTTAGTATAAACAAGACAGAACTTGGTTGTTGTGCCCTCATGCTGCAACAATGAATATGTCTTTCTTTCTTTATTTTTCCCCTTTGATAATATTAAAATGGATTTGATTCCACAAATTTATATTGATGAATTCCTCCATTTTCGCTTTGAGACATAATGTCTTATCTTGTATTTCTTATGTTGTAAATATAGAAAAGTTTTCTTTATAATTTCTTTAAAAATTTCCCCTGCTATGTTTCTTTTTAATTTTTTTAATAACTCTTTTGATGTGTAGGAATGCTCATCCAATAGATAAATTGAAGGATGCTTATAGAATGTTTCTCTTGCGCACAATGCGCAGACCAAAAGCTGCAGATGTAAGCAAGGTTTTAAAATGAACGTAGCTCATATCATTCTAACTGAACTTCTAAGTTGAAATCATTATAAAATTCAGATATATCGTATATGAAACTATTTAGGTAAATTGTAGCTCAGTCATGTGAGTGTACCTGTATTGTGTAGGAGTCGGTGGAAAAATGCTTACCAGTTCGTAGCTTTGGAACTGTGCTTCCCAATCCAGGTAATCATAAGTTCACTTGATTTCATCTGCATTAGAACTTTACACTTTCTAAAGCCTTTATATGTTGCAGGAATGCTGACAATGGGCAATGTCGATCGTTCCAGGAAAAACATGAAGCCTGAAAGGTGAGTGCAGTTAGACTTGGAGAGATTTTAGTACGGAGTTGTACAAATTTCACTACTATGGGATGTTGCTTGAGGTCATTTCTCTCCTTTGAACTTTGTTGCAATTCAATGGTAGGTCATATCTAGCTCCACTTGATGTTTATGATGATTCAAAAGTCGCCGTTACTTCACACCATGAACCAGAAGTTTCGAAGGCACATTTGAATTCTTGGACAGCATTGGGGAGTCGAAGGGAGAGAAACAAAGAAAACAATGCACCTCCTTCCAAATGGACTTCCCACAAGGTTTGACAGTGACATCAAGATGCAAGATTATTTTAGTAGATACAATTCTTGAATTGTACAACTGATGCAGTGTATAAGACCCTCAACATTTCTGTTGTCAGATACCGCAAAGGATTGGATCCAGGATTGGAGGATCGAATGCAAATGCACCTATAGAGGTGTTTGTGGACGAGGAATGCGAAGAGTAAGCTAAAACATTATTTTGTATGAACTATGGGTTCATTAACTCAACATGAATTTCTTCTCTTGTAATAATAGGGCGCATAAACTGGAACATGAAGAAAGTCGCAAGTCTTCAACCACACACCTTAGGCAAGTTGATGGACGCGATTGTAAAAGGTGAGAAACCATTACCACAGTATTTCCAATGCTTTGTTTTTTTGCATGAGGAGGCTCAAGTATGATTTGCAGCCAACCCTTTTTGTTTTTATGTTGTTTGAGCAGGGAAGCAGAGTTACTAAGGCAGAATCCATTGCGCAACTTTCCTTCTAACAGTTTCCGATGATCAGCTCTGTTTGTTGTAAATTGTAATTCCCTAAATGGCTTATCCTGTGACTGGTGGATCTTATCCTAAAAAACCTTCTCCAAGTTCTCTCCTTGGCCAAAAAAAAAAAAAAAAAAAAAAAAAAAATT